ATGAGGCCTAACTCCAGTTTACACACTGCATTTATGTCCACTGATCTGGTGGCAGAAAGCTTACTCTGCCATATCACTAGGGGGAGCACTTATGCCTTTAAAAAAAAAAAAAAAGAAAGAAAGAAAGATAAAAATAGGAAAAAAAAAGTTCTCAATTATAAACGTTACTACACCTGACTGACCATGGGAGACAAAGGAAAAATGTTTGGAAAATTCACAGGATGAAGTGAAAAACAGTTTAAAACTCAGCAACTTTTAAAGTAAGCAACATGAAACATGGGTTAGATAAGGTATGTTAATCAATCAACATTTAATGTATAATATAAATGGCAAATATTGCTTAAGATAGGGTCTTTTATAAGAATATATAAATTGTAAAACAGGCTGACCTTACTATCACTCTGTTAAAAATGCTCCATTATAACTTGTGAAGATTCTAGTTTCTGATAAATACTATTAGCAAAGGAAGTTAATGGATATACATGACAAACTTCAGTTAAAATACTTTACTTGCCTATTATTTTATTAAATTGTTGAGGGAAATATTAGTGCCATCATCCTATTTAAGAGTTTGAAACATACTTTGAACACATAAGTACCAAAAAAAAAAAAAAGGCAGGGAAAGGAGACAGAAGGGAATTAACTTTAATTGGGTATGCACTGTATGCCAGATGATCTACAATTAATACAACCACTCATGGAGGATTATTATTTCTATTTTATAGATGACAAAACCAGGCTCACAAAGATAATGAATAATAGAGTAGGTAAGACTTTAATCTGTCTGATTCTACTGCCCACAATTTTTAAAAAATCAGAAATTGTTTAATTCAAGTTGGTTAACTTAAATACATTTCATTTTGTTAAGAGTTACCTTTACATCACAGCAAGAAAAAAAAGAAATAACAACATACAAAAATATGGATTATATCCCAAGAGTTTGCAATCTATTAAAGCAAATGGACATACACACATGAGTTAAGGAATGTGAAGCAATGATTAATTGCTGGCTGAGGGATGCAGTCACTAAAGTGATATGGCAGCTGAAAGAAGCTTGGCATCCATGTGGCTTCCTTATGGCAGTACAGGATTGTGGCTGCATCCCAAGGATGGTAAACATTGGCAGGTATAATGAAACAGTACTCCAGGATGCAGAAGGCAGAGTTGAGGATGACCACAGTGTATCTGAGGCCAGCATGACTGTTTCAAAAAGAGCTGGTCTGAGTAGAAACAAGCCACATGTCCACCACTGAAGAATGCTTAAGCAAAATGTCCCTTCTTACCCCAGGTTTTGCTTTCCAGGGCTTCAGTTACTTATGGACAACCATAATCTGAAAATATTAAATGGAAAATTCCAGCAATAAACAATCCATAAGATTTAAATAGTGTGCCACCTCAATGAAATCTTTCATCGTCCAGTGCTCTCTTGCAGTATAGCAATGCTTAATTTTGCTTAATAATGGACCCAAAGCACAAGAGTAATGACGTTGGCAATTCAGATATCCCAAGGAGAAGACAAAAAGTGCTTCCTTTAAGTGAAAAGGTGAAAGTTCTTGTTAATAAAAATAATCATGCACTAAAGTTAAGAAGGAATCTTCTACCCATGAAATTGTAAAGAAGGAAAAGGAAATTTGAGCTAGTTTTATGGTTGTACCTCAAATTGAGTCTTGTAAGTACTTAATTAAGACGAAGATCGCAAAAGTATGAAATTATAGAGCTCTGTACTACTTGCTATTTCAAGCATCCAAAGGTCTTGAAATATCCTTTGCAGATAAAGGGGATCTACCACATACCCATACAACAGAATACTATTTAGCAATAAAGAGGAATATAGTAGTGACACATACTATGACATGGATGAACCTTGAAAACAAAATGCTAAGAAAAAGAAGTCTGTCACCTATTATAATTCATTTACAGGAATGGCCAGAATAGGAAGATCTACAGAAACAGAAAGCAGATTAGTGGTTCCCAAAAGCTGGCAGTTGGGAAGTGAGGTTGGATTTCTTTCTGGGGTGACAAAAAGGTTCAAAAATTAATTGTGGTAATGCCTGTACAATTCTGTGAAATACACCAAAAACCACTAAACTGCACACTTCAAATGAGTGAACTATATGGAATGTGAATCACATTTCAATGTAATCATTTTAAAAAGTGAGGGACTAGTGGAACTTCACATTGCACATCTAAGATGGAATCATTTATGGAGTATTCTGAAAGCCAGGCTTAAGGGTCTGGAGTTTATCTGATAGACAATTAAGAGATACATGAATAAAGACATACACTAATACAATTATTCGCATATTGTGAGTGCACTCCTAAAATATATGCTGAAATCACACAGAAGAGAGAGAACAGGAAAAAGATGCTGTAACACGATTTTGACTAAGACACAAGCTGTGACTATTAGGGAAGTTGTTTTGCTTCCGTGCTAAAAGCCACAGATGGGTATATCAGCACCATAATTATGCAAAACCACAAATTCATCTGTTTCAAATCTTCAAATACAGTAATGTTCTAAACTTCATTGTGAAAATGGCATTAATAACTGACCTATCATATTTTAGGGTAAGATAATGAACAGTGTCATTTGTTTTTCATTAGATGGCAGTACTCTGTACATAATTGTTTTTAGATATTGGACTCAGTTTAAGTGCTATCAGACTCTTGACTGTTATAAAGCATTTTTCCTGCTGATGTTTAAACATTTGACTCTAAGTTCTAATTTAACATAATATTCCTAAAGAGTTTTAATATGCAAAATAAGAGAACTAAAGAAACAATCTGACACAAAAGCAGAGAGAAAATATATACATATACAATGTTCACATATATATGAATATTAAATATCTAATACAAGGGAAAGGTAAAGCACTCAAAAATGAGTCTGAAAAAAGTAGGAGTCAGTTTTAGGTTCTATAGCATTGGAAAGAACAAACTATTTAAATGGAATAAATTACATTTAAAATAGAAAACTATCAATACAGAGTGGATGAGAAGGCTGTGACAGAGGCAGTTTGGAACACATCTGTTTGGAACCCCCTCCCCTGAATCCCAAGGAATAAAGAACCTTTCAGGCAGTCTGGCAGGAGAGTGAAATCCCACTTTCCCCAGGAGGTAATGAGATGCTGGAAATGCCAAAGAAGAACCCAGCAAGGGAACCCAGACAACCAATCTAGTGTTCCCCTACCCAGGCACCCTGAACCCTCCTTACAGGAAGGTGAGCCACAAGAAACTAAAGTAGACATTGGATCTCTTTTAAAATTCTCTTCTCTAAGAATCAGAGGACCCATCTGTCTCTATAAGGGCTTTGTAAGTTTCAGAACTAAGTGAAACTTATGTTCTATGTCTGAAAAATAAAACCTAGACAACCTAGTTCTCTAATCAACAAGAAAAGCAAAGAGAAAACAAGTAAGCTTTCCTAAAACAGAAAACTTATCACTGATATCTAGAATAAGGTATCTGCTATCACAAGTAAGGAGAGCAAGACACTCCATTTCCTAACAGCAAGCCAGTGTTTATACTAAAGAAAAGGATTCAGGAGGAGTAAGTAGAGGTTATTTCAAATCATTAACTGCTGTGTATTAAATTTATCCAAACTTTCACCAGTTGTACTTCAATTAAAAAAAGAAAACCTGTGAGAAAAGACAAATGTTGACATCTATCACTCACCATTTTAATCATGTTCATTATAAGGAATAAAGTACTTCAAATATGATACAATCAAATATCAAAATGATTAAAAGTTGCATTAGTCTCCAAGTTAATGCAAAAGCACAAACTGAGAATTCATAATATAGGCACAAGTTTTCTTTTAAATAAGTAGGAATGATGAGACCATGCTACCATAGATGACCAAAAGCAGGGAGTGAGGGGTAACAGTATCAAGATGAAGCTTGAGATCCAGAGGCACTGCTGAAGGCTGGAATGTCGGTGGGCACTGCCTACATGGTAAGCACACTGAGGCTCTGACTACAGTAAGAGCAGAAACTCAAGAAGCCTCCAGTAGGATAAAGAATAATTTAAAAAATGGAAGTCCTGGAAAGGGAATTTTTTTTTATAGAGTTATCCAATGAATAACATGGGTTTGAAAACACAATCTAAAATAAAAACAAGACAAGAAACTGGCCAGCACCTGAAACTGGCAAAACAGATTGAAATTAAAAATGCAAGGATAACAAATATCCAAAGAGTAAATAACACCAGTTTTCAAAATCTGATTCTGAAAAACGAAAGTAAAGATTAAATTGCCAAAAGAGAAAAAAGAATGTGCAAATTAAGGAAAATTTTTAAATAAGTATACACAAAATGCCTTAGGAAAATCTCCATTTCTGAAGAGTGTTCATCAATATGTTAATTAATGTTCACTATCAGTTTTTAAGAAACTAAATCTGTAACACAATTTTTTAAATAATTCAGAAAAATATTATGATTATTTGCAGTAACTATTTGCCTTAAAAAAATTCTGTAAAGCCTGTGAGATGGTTTGAAACTTAATGACAGTAGGCTCAATTAAATTTAAAAAAAAAAACTGACAAGATTATAACATTCACATAGCAAAAGTAATATAGACAGGATGTCCTAAGCAGAAAATCAATATTTGGAAATTGTTTTCTATATGGTAAATGGTACATAATATTTAACTTCTACAGTGAACTTAAAAATTAATCACTGTATATTCTTAAGTCTCATCTAAACTTATTGTATCTTATGTGAGCAAAACCAAAGCTGGAAAAGAAAGAAGAATGAGGTTCAAATCAACCCATTAGTCGTTCTCCTCCAAAGCAATATTGCATAAATTAGAAAACTTATTTGATTTCAGTTCTCAAATTCCTAAATCCATACCTAATACAATTCATAACATAATTGTTATGCATGTGAAAGTACTCTTCAAGTGAGTAAGTAAATCTGAACACAAGAGAAACATGACATTTCAGAAAGCATTCATCTATGCCACCACAAGGAAAGAACAGCAATTTCACTGAAAGACTAGGAAATACCTGAGCAGATAAACAGCCCTTTCAATGTCACTGAGGTCTTCATCAACTGTCAATCTTTCTATTTCTTCTGGTGTCTGTCAAGGGTAAAATACAAATTAGGCACATAAACACTGGTCAATCTTGCCCACCTCCAAGTGACCCTCTACAGACTACAGACTAATGAAAAAGTTTCCCAACTAAGCATTGAATACTAGATAAGGGTTTGATGATTCTTGGCAACATTAACCACAAAGAACTCTAATTGGGTGCTCTCATGGGGAGGGGGTATTTTGGTTTATTTTGCATTTACTCTTCTAGGTTCTAGACTGCAGCTTAATCACATCATAGCTTCAGAACCTTGCTGAAATCAATTTCATATACATATATGATATTTATGCATATATCACATGCATATTTATAAACACAGTTCATCTCTAATACCTCCAAGACTCTACCCCCCAGGAAAAGCTAAAGGGGGGAGGGGTGAATGAAGACTGCAGCCCCGTGGGAATATAAGGGACGAGATATTGGGGGTGGGAGGGAATACACTCTGGAGCTGGAAGAAAATCAAAGGTTCCAGACATTGCGGCAGGTGGGAGGGAGAAGCGCTAACCGAGCTATTAAGAGACTGGCCAGGAGGGAGGAGGGTCCCCGAACGAGGTTTCCAGCAGTGGGGGTTGGAACCTCGGGAGGCTGGGAGGAAGATGACTGTGCGGGGCGGGGGACCGCGTGGGGGTGGAGGGAGCAGGCGGAAGGTTGACTCCCTCCGGGGCCGGGGAGCGGGGTCCCAGCTGGAGTCCTGGAGAGGCTGGGAGGAGAGGATGAGCAGTGACTCAGGACGGGAGCGAAGGGTCGGGAGGACTCCGGGAACCGGTGCTGACTGGGACGTGAAGAGAGGAAGGGCTGCCCTGGGGACAGGGGACCCAGCTGGAGCTCGCCTGGAGTGAGGGTCCTGAGCGGATGGGCGTCGGGGGACAGGAGGAGTTGGGGCTCGGGGACCGGGGCCAGAACCTGGGCGGCACTGCCGGGACGCGGGGAGGAGGCTGCGGCCGCCAGGACCGCGCGGGCCGCGGGGCAGCCCCTGCAGGGCGGGGGCGGGGCGCCCCGAGGGCCGCGGCGGCCGCGGGGAACGCCGCGGGGGGAGGCCGGGGCCTGGGCTCCGTRGTTCGCGGGGAGGGCCAGGGCCCGTCCCCGGGCTGAGGGTCCGACTGAAGAGCCGGGCCGCGTCGAGGAAGGGGCTTAGGGTGACACGGCGACGGCGCTGAGGAGGACTGAGGGCGGCGGGCTGCTCGGGCCGGCTGGCCGGGCGCCTGGGGGCAGTTTCTCTCGGCGGGGCGCACCTTGAGGCTCCGGCGGACCGGCCTCTCGATGATGGTGAGCTCCTGCAGGTCCTCCATGTAGCCGAACAGGCTGTTCTGACCGAAATCCATCGCGACGCCGGCGGCGGGCGGCGGYGGATGCATGGACCGCCCGGACCCCTCGCCGCCCGGGCCGAAGYGGCCCCGGGATGCCGGACGCGCGCAGTCCCGCGCCGCCCACCAGCAGGACTTTCTCCCGCTCTCGACCGCGGGAACCGAGCGTGCGGCTGGCGGGCGGCGGGAGCCTGAGCGCGGCCCGCCGAGGGGGCGGGGCGGGACGGCCTAGGGGGCGGGGCGGTGTGGGAGGGGAGGGGCCAGGGGCGGCGAGTCTCCACAGAGCCCGCCTCGGGCCCGCCCCCTGCCGGGCTCCGGGCGATGCGCGCGCGCGCGCGGCCGGACGCAACTGCCGCTTAACGTCGCTCTCTGAGTCCGCACCTCTTGGCCCTCCCGGGCCGTCCCCCGCCCCCCACCGAGCGCCCCACCCCGCGGCGCGTGCGCGGAGCGCAGCTGGCGGAGGCGGGCTGGGGGCGGGAGCTGGGCGCGGGCGGCTGAGCCAATGAGAAGAGGACCGGGGAGAGGGGGCGGGCTGGGTTCTGGCTTCACCTGCGAGAATAACTTTCCAACTCTTGCTAGGGCTGCACCGCAGTTAACGGGCGGCTGACGGTGGGCCCACCCTAGCTCAGCTGCAATCCTGGTGGAGGGATGCGTACCCAAAATCAGCAGTTAGGACCCGGTGCGTGCCCAGGAAATGGGGGAGGTATGTGAGAGTACAGTCCTGGAGGGGCGACGTTTGGGGAAGGGCAGCGTCCGGAAAGGACCTCCTGGAAGGGACACCTAAGCTGATCAATAAGACTTCACCAAGAGAAATATGAGTCAGCCCCGGGGTGAAGCCTGGGCGTGTTTGGAAAGTGCGGTCGGTCTGAGCAGAGCCTGGGTGCTGGAAACTAGTGCTTGCCAGGTGGGGCGAAGAGAGGCGCCCAGGTCCCTTACGGAGATGGGCACTTCTCTCCGCAGACATTTTGAGTCACACTTGCTGCGATGAGAATAGGAGGCCATTAAAGGGAGGCTGGGGCAAGTTTTGGACCTTGGGACAAGAGTTATGTTGTTCATACTCCTCATCTCATTAGTCAACAAGAGCTCTCTCTTTTATTTTGTACTCTTTCCCTCCCCATTCCTCTACCCCCACAAGAACCCTCCCTTGCATAAGGTATGTCAAAAGAGTTATTTATCTGTTTTTAATGAAAATAAATGATATGTGCTAAGACATTCTGGTTTTTTCCCACAGCCCAATATCTTAGGAATTGTGTTAGCTTYCCATCACTGTGACAAAATACCTGAGGGAATCTACTTAAAGGARGAATTTATTGTGACTCCTGGTTTCAGAGGTTTCAGTCCATCCTCACTGGGCCCAGTTGCTCTGGGCTGTACATTATGGTGGCAGAAGTATGTTCCAAAGCAAGACTTTTCACTTTATCAACACAGGGAAGCAAAGAGGGAGAGAGGAAAGGATAAGATCCCAATACCTTCTTCAAGGACTCACTTCAATAACCTAACTTCCTTCCACTAGACCCCACCCCCTAAAGGTTCTGCAATATCCTAGTAGCCTTCAGGTTGGCAACCCAGACTTTAACACATGGCCTTTGGGAACCCTGAAGCCATAAACTCCAACAGAGACTTAGCTAGCCAGTGGCTTTATACACCAAGAGTCCATCAATTTACTGATAGTGTTCCATTTATATACCTGACACATTTTACTTATCAGTTCCTCAAAAATGGCAGTTAGGTTGCCAGCCGTTCTCTGCTGTCACAGACAGTGCTAAAGGGGTTCTAGATATGTCTCTTATGGACCATAAGCAAGAAAAAGAATTGCTGGGTCATGAAGTCTACAGGGCTTAGGTTCACTGTCACCTTGCCCTCCAGGATGACTTTGCCAATTTACATTCCAACCAACAGCACATCCTGTAGCTAATAATGTGCTAGCATAGTAATCTAACATCAAAGCAGTATTACATAATTTTCATTTGTATTTTCTGATAATTAGTATGTTAACTATTTTTCCGTGTACTTAATCATTGAGATTTTTTTCCTTCTGTGAATCACCTATTTTATATCCTTTGCCTATTTTTCTTACTGGATTTCTATCATTTTTTMCGAATGGATGAATGGATGTTTTTATAGATTCTAAATACTAATCCCTTGTCAGCTTCCMCACTACAAATATTTCCTACAGTTCCTTGCACCTCCTGTTAACTGGGTCTTTGCTCTCCCATAATGAATGAGAAATATTTAATTTTGATCTAGCCAGATACTTTGTAACTCTTCTGAAGTGTACCTTTCCAGTCTTATTTAGTAATTCACTCTCACTCAGTCATAAAATATCTATATTTCCYTTCCTGTTGCAGTGGGTCTGGAGTCTGGAGCTCGCCTTGGGTATATATTTTCTCCATGCTGTGAGCCAGTTTTCCAGCCGCACCACCTAGCTGCCCATCCCCCCATCCCATGTGCAGTGGCAGCTCTATCAAGCACCATGTTCCCACAGACACACCTCTCTGTTCCTGGGCTCTTGTTGCTGTTCTGTTGATCTGGGTCAGTTCTTGTGCCAGTGCTGTGCTGGTTGCCACTGTGGCTAAGTTGTATAGTAGTCCCCACTCCCATATCACTTTCTCRTGACATCTCTGGTGTCACTTTCTATGGTTTCAGTTACCTACAGTCAGTTGTAATGTGAAAAATGTTAATTGGAAAATTCCAAGTGCTCCATTCTGAGTAGTGATGACATCAGATGTCTTTCTGTTCCATCCCACCTGGGGCRGGACATGGATCATCCACTCACCCAGAATACACAGGCCAGATAAATGCTGCCTACCCACTGGTCACTTAGTAGCCATATTGGTCATCAGACCACCTGTCATAGCATCACGGTGCTTGTGTTCAGCTTACCTTATTTTACTTAATACAGTGATTGTTCTATTTTTATTATTAGTTGTTATTGTTCGTCTCTTACCCTAATTTATAAATTAAACTTTGTCATAAGCACATGTATGTGTGCTTATGTATGAAAAAACACATGGTATATAGAGAGTTGGATACTTTCCAAGGTTTCCAGCCTCCACTGAGGGTCTGGAAATGCATCCCCTATGGATAAGGGGAGACCAGTGTGTGTCCTGAGGTCTGCTGGAGTGAATCTCTCTGCTCTTTGCTCTTTTTTTGGTAGTGCCTTACAAGTTCAAARTAAAAATGGTCAGTGGTGAGCCCCACAGCTAAAATTCAGGCTCTTAGATCCCTGCTGTACTAAAGAGTAGGGACACAGGAGGGGAGCAGAAATATGACAGGATAAGGATAGAGAAGAGGCGAGTCCCAGGGGGGTGGTTCTCCTGAGCACATGCCATGTGGGTTCCTTTTCTGTCAGTTTCTGGAAGTCTCCCTCCTTTTCTCCTTCACCTGAAATTGATACTAAATATTACTTGTAAACTTCACCCTGTGACAGCGGAGAACTATTCTCTCATCTCTGATTTTGTAGCAGGATCATCTGAGACTCAGTGGCACTCTTAGAACAGGGCTGGTTGAGCCCTCAGAMGGAGCTTTGATGTTGACCGTCAGGGAGCAGGAGGTTGGTGAGGGGAAGGTGCCCACTTTGATGACTGGAATATGTAACTGCTCTAATTACTGCCCTAGGATGCAAGTAGCCTGCCCAGCCTGGCTGCCAGGAAACCTAACCCTCAGTCCTGTTTCTGCTGGTGTCGAGTGGTAAACTGACTCTCAGAGTCCTCTTTTTCTCATTTGCATTGCTTTCATACATGTCATCTCAGTGCTCCCTCACAACAGGCCTGTGAAGTGTGAAAAGATGCTTCACTAATCCAGTTTGGCMGGTAATGAATGGGGGCTCAGACATGTTATACAACACAGGCATGAATGAACACAGCAAAGGAAAGCTAGATTTACCTACCTCATTTATTCTTTCAACAACGTCATGGTGCTAAAGCACATGGAGTTCGGAGCCCAACTATCTAGGTTTGAATCCAGACTCTGCCACTTCTGACCTTCCTACTTAGCTACTCTGTTCCTCGATTTACTCTTCAYGAAGTAATAGTGATAGTATTTAACACCAAGTGCTATTGGGAGAATTAAATGAGATAATATGCATACAATACTTAGAAAAATTCCTGGCACAAGTGTTTGCTATTACTATTATTATTGCCACCAGACCAGCGTCCTTCTGGACTCAGGTTCAGAAAAGATACCAAAAAATTGTACTGAGTTAATTGATTATTGTGGGATTCGAAATAATGCTTCCCCAAAGATGTCCCTGTCCCAATCCTCTAAACCTGTGGATATTATCTGACATTGTGAAAGGGACTTTGATGTAGCTAATTTAAGGTATAAGTTGATCTTGATATGCATAGATAATCCTGGATTATCCAAGTTGGCCCTAATCACAGGGAAATACATGAAAGAGGGAGGCAGATGTGTCATCGTCAAAGTGATTCGATGCAAGTAATTGACCGGGTGCTGTTGGCTTTCAAGACAGAAAAGGCCATGAGCCTGCAGCCTATAGAAGTTAAAGTTGGGGAGATTCTAAAATCTTGAAAATTTTCCCAGAGAATCTCCAGAAGAGAACATAGCATTACTGCCACCTTGAATTTAGCCCTATGACAATCATTTCAGACTCTGACTTCCAGAACTACAAAATAATGAGTTTGTGTTATTTTGCGCCAGTGGGTGGTAATTTGTTACAGCAGCATGGGAAACAATGCAATTATCTATATGAGAAAAAGTATTCACATTTAATCTCTTTCTTAGATCACACACGAAACACCAATTTCAGGTGAATAAAAAGCCAAAACACAAAGACAACTCTTTCAAACATATGAAGAAAACATCATATGTTWATGACACATGAGGACAAAAAAGTCTTAAGCAAAAGAAAAAGTGTACATATGAAATCAAAGACTGAGAAGTCTAGCTACTTTAAAATTAAGAACTTGTATTCATCAGGGGCAAATCATAGGCAGGGAAACAATATTTGCAACAAATTAATTATAGAAGGATTACTATCAAGAAATTTTAGAATCAAGAAATTTTTTTAAAAAATCTATAAAAAAGACAAT